CATCCGATCGCAACAATGAATATTAAATAAATAAATAAACAGTACGCCTGGGCACTGCGCTCTGAACATGACAAAAGAACGCACGTTTGTCAACGTTCGAGCTCAGCGAGTGTGTCCGACTGGAGGCGACTCTGACGGGCAACATTCCAAGGAGGCGTGGGCCCCGCACTCTGGAGTTTATGTAACATGTAAAGAGCCAGAGATTGTCTGGCTCAGCCACTTTCGATCTGAGAGCACTTTCGCGGGATCCAACAATTCGAGTTGGCTTACTTGGGTACTTCGCTCAGGAGCCAAAAAAGAACCAGAGTTTGTTTGTAAGAGCCAGTGTCAGCGAATGTGACCGACCTGAGGCCGCTATCGGCCGGGGTAACATTTCAGAGTTTGCTTGGGTACTTCGCAAAGGACATCTGAATTTATTATCTATTTGTACATCTTCAATCATTAAGCGGATTTATTGCACTAAATGGTGAGATAATTAGCGGTAGCTCACTTGTTATAGTATCAAATACAATCTAAAAAACTCAAATCTGTGGCGACGTGACACCCATGTGGATTTGCCACGTGATTGGCTGTTGGGGGGGGGATGGGAGGGGCTAAGGCGGAGAGGGAGGATATAAAATCGGCAACCAGTTGTCTTCGCATCCTTTTCCTGAGAACTTCTGGAAACCAGAGGAAGCCCACATTTGGAAAAAGATCGAATCATGAAGCTCATGCAGGAAGCGGAGGACCCAAACCGTGACAGAAAGGTAAAAGGGCATTTTTTTTCACAATGCAGTATTTACGTGTAGTTGGGAAAGAGTTTAGTTTCGTATGGATATAGAAGAGTTGACTTGTTTTTATTATTTTTTTAAAACGCTTTCCAGCTAATAAAATCCCAAGTCGAGAAGCGTCGACGTGAGAGAATGAACCATAGTCTGGAGCGTTTGAGGTGCATGTTGATGCAAGAGCCACAACAACAGGAGCAGCAGGTAAAAAAACAAAAAGCCAATATGAGCTCAAATGAGTCATATTGAGGGCAGCGCGGTGACCTAGTGATTAGCACGTCTACCTCACTGTTCTGGGTTCAAATCTCGTTTCAGGCCTTCCCTCCTGTGTGGAGTTTGCATGTTCTCCGTGTTCTTTCATGGGTCAAAAACATGCACATTAGCATCATTCTTCAAAAAAATGGCTGCAGGTGACCTAGTGATTGGCACATCTGCTTCACAGTCACAATGTTCTGAGTTCAAATCTCACATTGGTTTTCTACAGGTGCCCCGGCTTCCGCATCCCAAGAAACATTCATGTTGAAGACTATATTATGCAGAGGTGTTAATATGAATGATTGTCTATCAGTGTACCCTGCCTTTTGCCCAAAATCAACTGATATAGGTTCCACTCTAATGATGACATAATATTGAAAATGTGTACCTGATATTAAATTAACAGTAATAAATGAACGTACATGTGTTGCTCTATAGGGTCCAGCGCAGCGTCGTGTGGAGAAGACCGAGATTTTGGAGCACACGGTCCTGTTCCTCCACAACACGAGCAAAGCAACAAATGGCCAACAACCACCGCAACATTCCTTCCAAGACGGCTTTCACACCTGCCTGCAAAGGGCCGCCCACTTCCTGGGGCCCGAGGGCAAAAGCCTGTGGCTCGCCTTGGATACCTCCTTCATCCAACGCTCCTTTTCACCTTCATCCTCCTCTTCTTCCTCCATCCTCCACGTGCTGAGACACAAGTCCAAGCACAACAGACGAGCGGCGGCTCAGGCCCCCAGAACCCCCCCGCAGGGGCAAAACTGGCTGGGGACGTGCATGGCGAGCCCCCCGGCAGAGGGCCCCTCACTTGGCCCGAGTGTGTGGAGGCCGTGGCCATAAACAATGAACTTTGAACCCCCCCGCCCCTTCCCTATGTATACATTATCTGTCAAGTTGATGGTGTAAATAGTTTGAAGACGTCGTTTGTACGCTGCTGTGTATATATGTGAACCACTCGACCCACTATAGATGTAGATATAGTGCCGCTTGGGATGGGGAGCTGGATGCTGGCGCCCACCATGTGTCCACTTCAGAGGTGAGTTGTCACGCACACACACACA